TCCTTCTCCTCCTCCTCCTCCTCCTCCTCCTCCTCCTCCTCCTCCTCTTTTCTTCTTCCTTTTCTTCCCCCCCCTTTCTTCTTCTCCTTCTCCTCATATTTTAACACTTCAGCTATAAACACCTTGATTCCACTGCAGTTTTCTATTCCATTGGTCTAGTTCAGTGTTTCTCAACCCTGACAAATTTAAGATGTGTGGACTTCAACTCCCAGAATTCCCCAGCCAGCAATTCTGGGAGTTGAAGTCCGCACGTCTTAAAATTGCCAAGGTTGAGAAACACTGGTCTAGTTCTAAAGGAAGTCAGCATCACATATGGTTGCCTGAGCATATCCCCCAGTGAATATAGCGGATGTTTCCAAGTCAACATGAATCACAACTGCACCTATGAAAAGTGACTATTTGGAGAGATTTACATAGGAGACACATTTTTGAGCAATGGATACTGTTTTTTGCTGGGTAGGGTCCGTGTTATCCACATCAGAGCCTTCTTGATGGTGGCACCATAGCTGGAACTACTTCCTTCATAGGCAAGTCAGACATCTTTAAAGGTGTCCTTAAACCGACCTCTGTAGTCCTTGGTATTTTGTTCTGTCTGGCTTTATTGTTTATATTTTACATTATGGCTGCAAATGCCTGTGCTGTTTAGCTGAAGATGCAACGACAGTAACCACAATACCAGCAACAGTAACATTATTATTGTTATTATTTCCCGTGGTTGCCTCTGGTTAAAAAGACTTGCCCATTTTTTCAAGACCTGAAAAGCAGATGCAAAACTGAGATCAGCATAGATTTCAAAGGCAGCAATTCCTCTTCAGAGTTCATCAGAAAGCTTATTCACAATCTCCAGCCTAAATTATCTGAAGTTTACAAAATTAAAGTTTAACCAAGGAAAGGACGCTCTGGTGCTTTTGGATAAAGGAATACGTGGGAGGCACCTATTAATAGTTATCTGTGCAGTGAAAGGTCTGAGTCAGTCTAAATGTTTAGAGCAGGTTTATGATTCTTTAAAATCAAACATCCTGATATGAATCTGTACAACCTCAGGTCTCTTGGGTAGGGAGTTTTGGCTGTAGAAAATTAACTCAGTCTTGCTAATAGATCTGCAACGTAAAATCTTCCTAATCAGACAGATAAAAATGCTGGGATGCTATTTTAACCAATTTCTTTTAATGCTTTGAATGGAAAAATATTGATCTATCCAATCATTTCAGATACTAAAACAGTGTTTTCCAACCTTGACAATTTTAGGACATGTGGACTTCAGCTCCCAGAATTCCCTAGCCAGCCATGCTAGCTGGAGAATTCTGGGAGTTGAAGTCCACATGTCTTAAAGTTGCCAAGGTTGGGAAACACTGTACTAAGGCCATACTTTGGGTGAGTCTCTGTACTAGTATAAGATCTGGGGATATTGTCCCTTTAAAAAGTTCTTAGTGGTTTATCTATATAACTATCTTTCCTCTCTTGTAGCCACTCTAATCTGGCAAACTAGAGTAGATACAATCAATATCCAGAATCAAAGTCCAGTAGCAAGACTAAGGGTAATCAAATACAATAAAGAGCAATAAAATTTAGTATGATACCGTATTGATACTGAGATTTGCTAGCTGCAAGATGTCTTTCTAAGAATTACAAATGATTCAAGATTACCAATCACACAAAAGTATCGTGCCGAGAGAATAGCAGCAGCTGGAGGAGGAACTTGGCAACATCTGTTGGCTATCGCTGATACTGTTTTTTTGATCTTGGCAAAATACTTTGCCACCATGATTTCCTGTGTCAAGGAGTTCCAAAGTTCCTCAGACTAAATACAGACGTTGCTTCTGACTGGTATCATGATTCATCTGAAGCTCCCAGCCTACAATTTGAGAAACACCAAGATAGAGATGATATTATTATAAATTATTATTAATACTAATGAAATTTCAACATTTTGGCAAAGCAAGAGCCCATTGGAATAAAAATAACCTCACCAACCAGGAGAAAACAGTTGGAGAACAGAACCACTAATGCTGTTTTTGGTGGAGGGCAGGAGTTATATCAACAGATTTTAAAAAGAGAAAGAATCAATTTTGCTTCTGAGCTTCTCTTAAAAGGACTTTGTAGCCTATCCAGCTAGCTTTCATGTAGATAAGAGTTCCAAAGTCTGTAACTACTGGAAAAGGCCTGGCTTTGTCTAATTCTCCCTGTCATGTAAGCAGGGGTGTCTGCAGGGTGTGGTCAGAAAAGTCATAATGACTGCCACAACAGTGTGATCTAAGTGCCACCTGCTTTTAAAGTCCATCGCACATCACAGCTGCCATCTTGACATTTTTGACCTCATCTTGCAGACACCCCTGCCGGTGGGCCTCTTCTATGAATGAACAGCAACTGTTGTCTTCCAAAAGTTGAGGATAAATTATACAATCTCACTCAACTGTTGAGCCACAGTCACTTTTAGGAAAATGCTCCAGCTGGAGCTGCGGGGATTCCCATGGCCTGTTTTAATAGGATATCAGAATTGGCCGGGGACATTCCCGGAAAGGCCAATATTCCTTAGGGAAGGAACTGGGGAAGAGGATTACAGCTCACTGGGACAATCTAGGCTTTGAGTTATGGTGGCCATGTGCTCTGTTTTGATAGGAACAGTCCTCCATCTGAAGGCAGTCTCACTTGAAAGCAGCCCAAATTTCAGAGGAAGGCAAACGTAGGCTGGTGGACATCTTTGGAATTTTTAATGCCTATAGTAAATTCTCTTGCAGATTGGCTGTGATTGGAATGGGGTTTGCCCATTCATGAAATAACTGCCAGAATAGATACAGCTAGTCTCCAAACATCCATTGATCAGGTAAAATAGTCCCAATGCCCTCAGCTCCCAAAATGTTCCCCATAAAGCTCCGGCTTACTTTGGCCTTCTTATTCTGGGCAAAAGGGAATATTCCCAAGCAAGGGAATGCCATGCAACCATCTGCTATTTTCCAAGAAAGTCTGTAAGGCCCAAGGGAAGCCTACAGTTTTCTTGGAAATAACTGTCAGAAACTGCTGCTTTGCTTTGTGGTGTGCTAGCTTGGCATTTTCAAAATATTTTTTAAAGAGGGAGAACTGGGACCTCAACATTATAATTCATAGTTAACTAAGAGCAAGCAAGATAGCTGGAAAGAAAAACTGAGAAAGAACTGTTGGAGGTGTGCAATATGTTTAGCCTGGAGAAGAGAAGATTGGAGAGACGTGATAGTTGTCTTCAGGTAGCTGAAGGAATATTATGTGGAGGACATGGCAAAATTGTTCATAGATGTTTCAGAACAAGAAACAGTGACAAAGAAGATGATTTCCACTGGACATCAATTCCTAACAGTGAGAATCGTTCAACAATGGAATGACGAGGCCTTGAGAGATGATGGACTCTCTTTCACTAGAGGTGCTTAAACAAAAGCTGGATGGCCAGCTGTTGGGGATGCTGTGATGGGAAATTTGTGCAGGACAGTTGGGCATGATGACCTCTGAGTTACCTTCCAATCCTTATATTTTATGACTCTACTATCCTGGCTTTTGTCTTAGTATCTGGGCAGGTAGATAATTTTCCAAACAGAATAATGAGCTGTAGCCATTCACCATTTTTATTTTCTAAGAATGCCTTTCTCCCTGAAAATTGAGATAATGCTAGAGGCTGGGGGCTTGTTTTGTAATGTATGTGATTCCCATTTAATTTTTTTAAAAAACAGGCAGATGGGACATCAGACCAAGGCTTGTGAATATATTATGTCCATTGATATATTGCCTAATCCCACCATGGAAAGCCACCACTAGAAATAGACCGTCCTCAATTAGATCCCAATTGTCTAGACTAATTGAAGATAGCTTCCTTTTGGTGTTTACCAAGCCTGGCCACTGTCATTTCTGTCTTTGTGACCTCCAGATTAGACCAAACATCATGTGTTCTTCATGTGACTGCCTGCAACATAAACCAGGTTCTCTGATATAGAGTGTGACACTCACTGACTGGCAACAAGGTCACGAGAGTATTATCAGTAGCAGGAGAAGTGTGATGGCTTAAATTATTCTGCTCAAACACCATGCCTCATCCTGATGGATTCCTGACTGCCACAAGAAGATAAGGCTGTATCTTCCTTTGGAGGCATAGAATTTATAAGAAAAAGCAAATAAGCAAATTAATTCCCAAATCTTGGAGGTGGAGGAGGAGGTGATGACAATGATGATAGCAAGGAAAGAAGAAATATCACCCTTCTTCCTTGTCCATGGAAACAAACACAATCAATTCCAGGCAGCTCCCCAAATTAGAAATTTGATTTACGGAGGCAAAACACTAAATTCCCAGTCCTGGTGTTTCGTATTTCAGTGATTTCCAATTGCCTGACCTTAGGTTGAATCCAACTTTTTGCCTAGTTCTCCCTAAGCTGGTGCCCTTAATATACATTGGACAATAACTCCCATACCTGGAGTGCCCCATCTTGGAGAAGACTGGCTGTGTCCAAGAGCCATAGGCAGTGAGTGAGGGTGCTGAAAGAGGCTTTGCAGAGACTCAGGGATCTCGAGGCACAACTCAGAAGTGGCCACTGTTGCATCTTGCATGTGGCTGTTTCTCCCAGTTGCAGTTGCCCACTGGTACTGCTGTGTGTTCTCCTTAAACTCACTTTTTCTTGGGATGCCTGACTTTACCTTGCAGAGGGGATAACCTACTCTTTTAAGATGTCCTGCAAGGTATGACCTTGGAGCATTTGTGGTGACTTGCAACTGCTCATCTGGGAAGCCTACGAAGGGAAGGAGAGGAATTGCATGAGGTCTCTGTGGTCTCTTCTCCAATCTCAATGCATCTCTACCAGGTTAATTTTTGCCTTTTTGGAAGAAAGCAACATGCAGATTTGTGCTGAGACAACACATCCAACTGTCAGTCTATCATCTCTCTTCTTCTGTCTATCTACCACCTGTTTTATACGCCACCCATTTCTATTGGACTCCAGGCAGTTTACAAAGCCAAAATTAGATTACATGAACACTACTGGGCTCCAAATGCTTGGTGGAACAGGCAGGTTGGGGAGGTTTGGGGTGCTGCATATCTTGGGAGGCAAATGGGCCACAGAATAGGGCAGCTATCGAGAAGACTCACTGCTGGACCCCCAATTCCTTGACTTTATGTAGAGTGGGGACCTTCCGAAATCAATCCCTGTAGGAACACGCAGAAGAGATGGTTCTGTAAGTATCTGGGAGCCAGGCCATGAAGTGGACCTGGAAACAAATTGGTAGCCACTGTGTTAGGGAGCTAAATATGCTACCTCTAGTTAACAGACAGGCTACTGCACTTTGGACCATTTGGAAGTTTTCAGGTGGTCTTCAAAGGCAGACCCATGTAGAGTACATTGTAATAGTCTATCCACGAGGTAAAGGGTATGAGCTACTGTAGCCAGGGCATTCTGATTTAGATAGGCCCAAAATTAGGCCAGTTAGAACCTTTGTGACTGCATTTACCCAACGTGGTAAATGAGATTAGTTGGAACTTTTCATCTTTTTATGGCTTACCGTGTCACGTAAGCAATCATTTGCTTAGCTTACAGTTCAGTGCATTGTGGACATGGGTAATTCAGTAAATAGGTTAAGCAGGTTGTGTAAATACAACCAAGAAGATGGAACTGTGATAGAACCAGAGGCAGGGTTTAAGTCTTCTTCTTCAGTCACATCCACTTTTTCTTCTGTACATTGATGATGGTGGGTGAGTAGGGGCTCAAAAAAATCCTTCAAAATGAACAGATCCCGCCATACAACATGGAAATAAAGAGATCCCTTTCTTCATGTCATCCTCATAAGAAATAGCAACTTATGCAAAGTCAAGCAAACTTCATGGTTGAGTACAGACTGGACCCAGGTCTCTTATCCAAGTTTCAGAAATGGGCAGTGGTGTCTCCAGATGTTACTGAACTACAAACCTCAACGTCCCTTATTGCCAGTCATGTAGATTGGAACTGCTGTGAATTATAATTCATCCACATTGGCAATGTCACAGTTAACCAATGAGAGAGAGAGAGGGAGGGAGGGAGGGAGGGAGAGAGAGATGGCAACCAATGAGAGAGAGAGAAAGAGAGAGAGAGAGAGAGAAGGGAGGAAGGAAGGAAGGAAGGAAGGAAGGAA